GGAATGAGGTCTGGGATTTAACAGAAAATTGCCTGAAAACATATCTTCTTTTCTGAGTGTTTCCCACCTAAAACTTCACTGACATGTTGTCTTGTTTTTATGAGTTCCTCTGATCTGGCTTCTTTCTACTTTGCATTATTTTGTATTCTGCTACTACCCTTTTCAAATCTCTTCTCAAATTCATTTTTTTCTCCCAGTCCTTTCTCAAATTTTCAAAATCTCTCGGCTTTTTATTTTTTTAAATACCTTCTACTTGTATACTGTCATTTTAGAGATGAGTTGACCACTGCTACACACAGGGTTGCAGATAAGGCAGCACCGTTTATTCATACAAATCCAGTATTTTAAAAGCTGTCCACCTTATCATCTGTTATGGATTGTTCCTGGAAATGCTTAAAACAATATTTTTAAACAGCTTGTCTGAGCAATGTTGTTAATGTCTTTTCCTTTTAAAACTGGGATATTCTTTGAAAGAATTGCTTATTCTTTTTATGAAAGAAAGAATTTTATTATGAAAGAGTTGCTTATTCTTTTTAAATGTATAATCTAGAATAGTTACATTCTCTGTTGATCAGTAGAACAGCAGATATTTAGCAAGAACTATTACCTTTTGCTAATCTGCATTGCATAATCGTGATTAAAATAAAAAAATCTATTTCTCTCTAAATGTTTTTAAATGAAAACATTACGATTCATGTCAGCTTTCATAAAACCATTATAATTTTTTCATTCATGAGTGTATAATCAGGCACAGACTTCTAAACAGGATCATTTTAACGTTTCTTTCTTTAACAGGAAGTCCACTTACCATACTGAAAGTGTTCAGTACAGTGGACAAACACACTTTTTTTTTCCCCTACAAAGCTTTCTGATTGCACAAAAAACACAGAATAAATATAAACATTAGGCCAAGGCAACATTTTAATGTGCAGAGCTCCACTTGCCACACATGAATAATTCAAATAATGCTGCATAATGCATAGGCGATACTTAGTAGCATTTCATTAATAATCAAAACCTGAAGTGACACAATGAGATCATCATATATCAGTAATTCAAATACATTCCATTTATAATAAATAAGTGCTCATCTGAACATAGAACACATTAAGTATATTGTCCCAACAAGCAAGCTTTCCACAAACTACCTTTTTTTTTTTTCTTTGTCTGAATGGTGTGCTAACATTGAACACAAAGACACATTAGTAAACAAAGATCCATCCACAATCTGGCAAGACAACTATTGGGGAGTGACATCTGGAAACAGATGCATATACATTTTTCCAGAGGTTTTATCTTAAGTCAGTAGCACTGTGTCAATTTATACTGACTGAAAATAATACCTTTCTTTTCTTCCACTTTCTCATCTCCCCTTAGTGTTTGGTTGCCTATTTTTATTTTTGTGGTGGTTTTTTGTTGGTTTTTTGTTTTTTGGAAGAGGGAAGAAGAGGGAAGGAAGTTGCTTTAATTTGTTTTCAGCTGCTAAGTTCTGTGACAATGAGGATGGAGGGGGAATAGTCCAAGTCCTAGCCTCCATTAGCATTTTGGTTTGAGACAGTAGTGCTGTTCTGAAGTAAATTCCCAATCATACTCCCCTATTGAACCTTGGTTCAGTTTGCAGGGTGGTTTTGGCACACAAGGATTAAGTGTATTTTTGAGGAAACTACACTGGAGGCTCAGCTGCATGCCAAATATACTCCAGCCTCTAAAAGAGACATTAAGAGTCTGAACCAATTATTTGGCCTGTTTCAAAGTGCATATGCAGTTGAACATATATCCAAGGAAACAGACTATATGTAGTCTTAAGCTGCATATAGTGTAGACATACAAGTCTCTGCAGTAAATGCTTTCATCTACTGATCCTCCCCTACTGCACCAAGCATCTTGGCAACCTACATATAGCCAGAGAGTCCCAAAGACCAAGACTTGACAGTGGGATCCTCAGTGACTTTCCCAAAATTGCTTCAGAGAGTTTTGGCTACTACATCCTATGTATCTCCTAAAACCTTAAAATTTCCGTACGTAAGTCATCTTCCACTGAACAAACATTTGGGACTACCTCAGAGGACCCCACTTCAACTTTTTTTTCCTGGCATTACAGTCTTTCTCTATTCAATTCTATTTAAGATGCTGCTGTTGAAAGTACCTCCCCGTTTATTTGTTATATTAATTCCTCCACTGCCTTCGTCTCACTTCAGATTCAAGCTTCTCTCCTTTACCCTTAAGCACCTCAGCATTTAGTGTAATGCTATCCATCTTGGTCCTCCCTGCTCCTGGTCTTGGGCATTGCAGGGTGGTGCAAGGCAGCCCACGGCACCACCTGCAGGCAGAGCTCCTCCTCCAGCTGAGATTCTTAAAAACGTGATTCTCCCTTTCTAAGTCTGGGTACTAGACACTAGTAAAGCTATAATCAAAAGGCTGAGTTCCTGCCTTGTGCCTGAATTTAACAAGAATCAAAATGCTTATGATTCAGCCTATATTCAGATACAAAGCTCATTGACAGCCGTTATCCTAGGGAGTCCCTTTGAAACTGAGTCAGCAGTATAGTGTTGAACTTGTTGAAGTTTTTCTGTATTCCCAGTTTGCAAGTAAGCAAGCCCTCCTCCCTTGCAAATCTTTTAAGAAGAAATGCTGAATAAATTCTTAACAACACTACAAAATAGAGGGAAAACAATGAAGTCAGAGACAGTTAAGACTACCACTAAAATAAAAGCCTTGATTTAATTCATAGCTCTGGAAGCAAAGAAGTAGGGCACAAACATACATTGTACATGAGGCTGTGTAATCTTTCTCCGCCCCAGAAAACACTGCAGGAAAGCCAAAGCTGAAAACCATGCAACTTGCTAAAAATAGTTTCAAACAGTAACTGGGAGGATTAAAACATGTGTCTCAAAGATCTTTGGTTTTGGAACGTGAAATTTGGTCAATTAAATTCATGTCAAAATTCATGAGGAAAAATGCTCCCTGAATCAGGAAACCAAGTTAAAGAGCTGAAAATTGTATTTGCCAAGCAAGTGTGCTACTGCGTAGGTGACTGGGACACAAGAAAAACAAAATGGTTAAGAAAACACCCTGATGGAATGTGGAAATCTTAATCCTCAAGTCTTGACTCCTAAAGCGTTAGGAATCATTGAACGTAATGAATACGAAGGCTGTACCTCCGCAAGCACGTGGCATAGTGCAGTGCCCTGTGAAGATACCTGAGCTAGCTCTCAATGAACAAGCCACATAGCTGCAGTCGGGTGGTGTCTGCAAGCCAATATCCCCTGCTGTTCAGTAAGGCTACTCAGCTTCAGCAAAAAAACCACACTGAAAAGACTGTACTGCTTTAAGAGACCAAGCTAGCTTTTACAGTTCCACTTGACACTATACTGTCTCATGTAGGCACAACCATAATGGTACATAAGCTCTGAAAATGCTTGTAAAATCAGAAAGTTAGCAGTGGCATTGGGCCATGCACTCTCTCAGAAGTAGACATGAGGTGAGACTTTGGTGCAGTGACCTCCCTTGTTCTGTGAACACAAGGAAGTCTTGTGCCTTTATATCACCAGGCAGTGAGATAAAAGTGTGAAACAAAGCTTAGTGAAATCAAAGGAGCTTGAAGCAGGCCTTAAAACCATATTCAACACATGTTTAGAGTAACTCAATATAATATTGTCTCTACTGACACTGAAATTAAAGCTTACCTCCTTTGTGTTGCAAAAACATAATAAAAGAACCAAGAAGCAGCCCCCTCCTCAAACTAATATCGCAAAAATAAAAAAGTCTCTGATAAAAAGTAGGGAAATATACTTTTCAAGAAAGGAAGTCACACAGATTGCCAAAACGAAAAGGGCATACTTTTTACCTGGAATTGTACAGGGCTGGAATTATGGTTGCCACATTGAAAGAAACAAAAGAGCATGTTAAAGCTGAGCTGCTTTTTCCAGTGATGATTTCCACCTCAAGTCAAAGGTGATAATGGCCAGAAATAGACCATTTCTCTTGGATTTTTTTTAAACCCACTCCCTTCCCTTACAGAAAGGAGAAGGGACATTGTATCATCCTGTTTGAACAGCCAGGAGCAAGTGAGCTCGGGAAGGCTCTGCAGAAGGCTGAATTAGATGAAGCACTCCCTCTAGTCCAGAAAAAAACTCTTCATTTGTTTGCCGTCTAGTAGCCTGCCCAGATATCTTAGTGCCTGCTTCTAATTTAACAAGTTTCATTCAGCTGTTGCTCAGCTGAAGGTAATTCAGTGGAGTGGGTGGAAGATCAGGCTGACCACTTCTAGACTTAGGAACAAAATCTGCGGAAATGCAGTTTCAGCTGACAGCATCACAGAACAATGCAGCCCTTCCGCTCTCCCAGCCCCTCTCCCTGTGACTAATGCCCTGTTACTTATTTCTGGTTCTTACACCAGTTCTCTTCTGTCTGACTACGAATGACAAATCTGAACTCTTTGATAATAAGGACTCTTATTTATTTATAAATACACACTTCTTATCTAATTTGTCTTAAAAAAACTGATGTTTTAAATTAAATAGTTACTTAAAAAAAATAAGCTCCTAAAGAAAACTGAAAAACGTTCTAAATACCCCGAAATGTCATTGATTTTTCCATACTTGGTGATAATACTATGGAAATTGCATTTTTTCCATGATATTCATTATCTGCAAAACCAATTTACTAGCACTGACCTTTTTTTTTTAATTCAGATGCATTACAGACAATGAGAGCCTCACTGCTCTTCGTAATGCTTCCTATACTATTATTAAAAGGAACAGCAGGTGTCCTTTTTAATTAAGGTATTTACCAAATCCCTTATCAATGCACACATGCTATTTTTACAGAGAAATTTAAATATCCGTTTCCTCTAGAACTGTGACAATTTTGGTAAAGTAATTCTTGAAAGGTCTAACAAAATTTATGATGTTTGCAAGTTTTAAAACATTAAACAAAAATGAGGTGTCATTCCCGATGATCAGGCACTGTGTTTAATCAACCTTTTCCAAATCAGGTGCAGAATGACCAGCAGAGCATTATGCAAAAGGAAAATGGATTTATACTGAACTTGAAAAAGGAACCACTTGCTTTCCAGCCACATACACTTCAGAAATATTCCGATCATCACCTGAAATAACATGGTCAAAACAGAGATTTACACATAAGTCTATGCACTGATTTAATTAATGAAAATAATGCAATCCACAAAATCAGTTTTGAAATACATCATTTGCAGTGACCATTTCCTAGGACTGAGAAAGTTTATTTGGAGAGAAATAGTCAGGGCTACCACAAAGATCAATGGATGTTTAAACTACCCATGCTTTTTTCAAGAAATAAACATAGCATTCAGCTGCTGCAGCGGTATCATGGGTTTTCTATATATTTAGCAGGTTCAAACCCTGAAAATATTGTACATCTGTACAGAAAATGCACTGTTGCACAGTATCTGAACTAACTCAGGTACCAGGCAGCAGTAAAGCTGGTTTGCCTCAGCCAGCTTCTCAAAAAGGCAAAAGCCTAATTAGAGAATGACAAAAACGTGGCCAGAGCTAACACCAGTTGCCTCTACATAACAACATAATGAGCGGTGCAGCTCTTGGTCCAGATGATGCCATATAAAGAATATCTATTCTCTTAGGGGGCTGGGTGGGATTGTTTGGGTTGGGTTTTGTTTGTTTTCTGTTTGGGAGTAAAAAAAAACCATAATGGCAACTGGTCTGCAGAAGTACTTCTGAGCTGAACTGGTTCTGAACTGGTGATTAGCATGTCAGTGTTACTCCACTGTGAAATATGATTTAGCTCATACTGTAGATAAAGATAGGTGTGGTAATAAATCAACAAACTTGGTGCATCTGATCATGTTACATTGACTATTTAACAATGTCCCAAAGAACAAAAGTTAAACCACTTAATTCTTACTCAGTATTTATAATCAGATATTAAGAAATGTAAGTAAATGTATCTTTAATTAATATAAAAAATAGAAATATTACTAAATAGTGACATATTAATGTTTATATGTAATGTAAATAAATATATTTGATTACTGTAAACAAGTGTATATTTAATTATGTCTTAATAAGTTTATTATTAACCTCCACATTAATTTAGGCAATTTTTGATGTATAAAACAAACAGAATTTTATGTGGGCTGAGAATCAGAACATACCCAGATACAGGAACTTCTGGAGAGTGTCCTATAAAAAATGGGAGAAAACCAAATTCAGAAAGCAGTATCTGCTATCCCAGATCATAATTATTTGAAGCTTGAAAGAACTGTTAAAAATAGTTTTCCCAAGTATTCCTACTAACAGTAAAATCAAAACTTAATTTGCACTTTTTCCCATAAGTAACTCAGTAAGAAGGCTGTATGTCTCAGGAAGAAAATACTGCGCAAGTTTGACGGTATAAACAAATATATGCCTAAAACACAATACTTCCTCTTCCTCTTTTTTTAGAGTTCTCAAATTCATTTACTTATTGAAAAATAAAACAAAATTGTAAGCACTTTTAAAGTCCTGAGAACTCCTAACTTAGCTAAGAAGGTTTAGACTTAAGTTGGAAAATATATTTTTTTCCAGAGTTGTTTGAATTATGAAGAAGATTTAAAATTTAAAGAATTAATCTAATTGAGATTATTGTGACTGAAACAGATTAAGGAACAATTACCTCACCACTTATGCTTGCACGTCTAAGTAACTGGTGACATTCAGAATAGAGACAGTGATAGACAATCTGGCCACATCAGTAAATTCAAGTAACTGTTGTTCATTACCTTTTTTTTTAATCATAAAATGGTTTTGTATGAGAAGGTGTGCCTATTGCATAATTGCTAATACTGCTTATATGTTTGCATAAAACCTGTGCTTTCAACTCAAATTAGCTGTCTTGAGTTCTGGCCTAAATTTATAACAGCAGTGCAGCCAAGGCAACCTAGCCTTTATCTGGGAACAGGCTGCCATTTTTGAGTTTGAACTCAAAGTGTTAACTAGAACTAAATTGCTTTTTCTTGGCTGCCATTTGTTACTGCAAATAGCTAACTCTAATTGTCAGCTTGGGCTAATAAAACATGCATTAAAAAATGTTACATGCATTTTTGCTCATGGGGATATGGGACTGTCACTGAGGACAGCAAGGTTCTGAAAAAGAAAACAACCACTGAACCTCTTGGGCTGAAACACAGACAGCAGTGTAGTATCCAATTCCTGTTACTGGAATAACTCTCAAGAGACTTATTCTGGCTATATCACAGACCTTCCCCACATCATTTCCAGTAATTTTTTGGATCATTAATCCTGTTCTGATTACCTCAAAATTATCAGCAGAGAACAAGTCAAAAGGGCTGTCTGAAGCCTTCGTGTTGATTAGCAGTGCATCAAATTCTTTGCCGACCTCAAAGTTTCCAATCACGTCATCTAGTCCTAGAGCTGAGGAAGAAAATAAGCTCACAAACAGGTCTTTAATGCAAGCCTCTTTCCACTATGTGGAAGCACCTGGCAACTTACGTGAGATGTTCATAAGGAAAACTACAAAAATTTAGATGATTACAAGGAAAAACATGAAAGCATATGCAACAAGGAGTATGTTAGCATTTGAGTTCTTAAGCAACTTCTCAGTAAAAACATGTATATTCTGATCAATTTCTAAAGGCATCTGTTAAGGGTAAAAGATATCTGAAAACAATTTGAGCCCCTCTTTTGATTTTTGTTCTTTGAATGTTCTCCATTGATTTTGTGCCATTCCAGATCTGATGTATAGGCCACTAACTGTTTAAAGTGGAATAACAATTGTTTGCATTGCAAAAACATTAAAGCTCCAAAACGAGCAATGAAATGAAGTCAGAGAAACAGTAAAGTATATAACAATAGTCACCTTGCTAAGGCCATATTAGATTTAATTGTTTAACCAGTTTAAGCACCTTTGACAGGTTGTATAGACCTGTTACAATAGTAACATATAATATTATCATAATAAAAGAGGTGTGCAGAGAGGAAAAATAAGGGTAATTAGCAGGAACCAAGAACAATATAGTGTGGGAAAAAAAATGAGCTGGATCTGAATGTCTCATACCCACCTGTAAGGCTTTTCTTGTGGTCTATTATTCAGCTTTGTTATTTCAAGGCTTCATTACAACCTCTGGTTCTCAGGTCCACAAGCACTGAAAATCTACAGTTTCATCTTCAGAAATGGAGTGCTTGCAAATGCTTAGAATACCTAAAGAGAGACCTTTGTGTCTCCTTGGAAATGGTTTAGGATAGTTTTAAGTTGTACAAAGTATCTGTGTATTAAATCAACTTTTCCAATACTCTGGATGTAAACTAAGTTGTCAAAGGGGATAATATCTGCAAATAATTTGTTAATTTGTTTTCAGGTTGCTCCTGTCCGATAAAGGAACTTGAGCCTTTAGTGAAGTTTATGTGTGGCAGGAACTTCGCAATACCTTAAAGATGTTTAAACTCATCCAAATGGTGAAATATTTTGACTACCTACCAGTTTCAACTAAAATGATCTCATACTCCTTCAGGTTTGTGAGCAGAATGCAATTTTTAGATTAAACACAAGAGGGTGACAAGTGTTTAGGAGTCTCAGCAAAGCAAATTATTGCAACAAAGAATCGCTCATTTACATTTCCACCAACTGTACTTGTCCAGGCTACTGGAAGGTTGTACGAGTAATTTATATTCTACCCTTGAAAGTGATTCGGTAAGGATAAAACAGTTCAAAATCAGTATATAAAATAAACACTTTACTAAGTAAACCTAAGAACCCAGATAGAACAAGCACAAGAGTAGCTGGGAAGGGAAACCATGTATGAGTTCAGAATTTTTATAATTTTTCCTTTTCGTATCTCAGCTAATTTTTTCTCTTTTATAAGAACAGTATATATTGTAGGAATATATAAATATATATTTACTTTTCTTTTATGAGAACAGTATATACTGTGGGAAAAAGATCTCTCCTTTTTTGTCCCCTACCCATTTTCTGTCTTCTCTATTTCCCCATTATACCCTCCAGAAATTCAAATATAGTCCTGAGAAGACCTGTTTGATGACATTTTTCATTACATCTTTCAAACTTCCGTTAATAGTTCCCAATGGTGTTTTCTGAGAATTATAAAAATGTAACACTGAAAAGACTTGGGTCCAGTTCTTTAGCAGGTAGCAAACTTATTTCTGCTAACTGAAATAGTAATAAATTTTTACTTATGTGTGCATTTGCTCTCTGCTAAATCATACAAGTTCCGCTAAAACTTTGCTAATTGTATAAATCAGTATGTGCATACTGATCATGACAAAACATGCCAGTGAACCAGAATAACCAATATACTATATGACTATATTCTGCAGATGCAAGCGTGTCTTGAACAACCATGGTGCACATCCTGTTTAAACTTTGCGCTTTTCTCTGATTCAGGAGTGATTTGCATGATGTTTTGATTTGCTGGAAAGACAGTGACAAACTGCCTCACTGAGAGCTCAAAAAGCAGAAACAAAATTAGAAACTGATGACAAACAGGATGCATGATTTTATAGTAATTGCACAGTAATTGCACAACCAAGTGTTGGTTGCTGAGAAAACGAAGTCTTTCCAGTTGGTTTGATAAACACACAAGCACTAATGATTAAGAAGTCTGAGGATCTTTGCAAAGAAAATGTACAACCCTGAAAAATCACTAGGATTCTATTATTAAACTCTCAACGTCAGTACAAATAATCTTCTGTAACGAGCCTAGTATGGGTATGAGAGACTGAAGGATATCTCTGCCCAGCAGATACCATTTTAGGCTTTACTCTGGCACCAGAAAATCTGTGAATTCAGCCACCTTTTAATGACAGAGCGACATAATATCAAAAAGACCTGTAGTTCTCTGTGTACATCCTAAAGAAATTTCTTCTTACCTTGGCTTCCTCCTAGAGTGGCTAGTTGAAAAGCTTCTTCAAGGGTTAGTGCTGTTTCATTCACTTTATTGATCTGAAGGCTATTAGATGCCATCATTGTTTTCCTGATGGCATCAAGCATAGAAGCTGAATATCCACCGGCAACATCTAGAAGGGATCAGACTCTTAGAAACAAGCTTTGGGAATAATTCTATGGGTGAAATTTCTATAAGCCTTAATTAAATTTTACAAAGTGGCAGATGTGGTAGACACAAAAAGTTTTACTGCTAAGTGCTGTCTCTGAATGTATAATTCCTAAGAAAGGTGCTCTCACGTACAAAGTCAGGTAAATAGAGTACAACACAAAATAACAGAAACCTGAAGAGTTGTTGTTCAAGCCCTGTTTACTCTCATGACAGGAACAAAACTTTCTTCATTCATTTCTGGTTTTCTTTTTAAACATTTTTTGACCAGCTCTAGATTTCAGTACTCTAGACTTCATTACTCTAGAAGTACTGTGAAAAAAAAAAGCAGGTCCATAAGTTGCTGACTTTTAAATATGAACAAGTAGACACGTTTTTGTGTCTCCCAATGGCTTCCAAAAGAAACTATTTTTACAGCAAACTACTAACCTGTGCCAAGGCCAAGCTTCACATTGTGTTTCAGGACCTTTTGCACATTTAAGACACCACTGCGCAACCTGAATTGGAAGAAGAAATGTGTTCTGTGTGATACATGCAGAGAAAGTTCAGGAAGAGTAGGGTTGCAGAGCTGTTTCAAGACAAAGGCTCTCAGAACATGTGCAATAGATGAGGTTTATTAACCTCGGATGGAGCATTTGCATTCATACACCTGAAAGATGGAGTTTAATCACAAAAAATAAAGGCAGTTTTTCTCAATTAAAAACTCCCACAGTTTTAAAGTTATCTGCTGAAAACGAGCTCTCAGTATACCTGTGAAAAATCCAAATATGATATAAAGTATGTTCCAGGAGATGGGAGGTCATTTCATGAGCTCCAGTAAGTCATCACAAACAAGATATTGATTATGTTAAAGGAAAAATGACTGTTAACATTTAATACGGTGCCCTGGCTGCATACCCTACAGTATCTCATTTCTGCTTAATAGAAAGAAGACTATATAGCCCATTCCCATTATCCCAAAACATATGCATGCTTTGGGGGGGGAAGGGAGATGGCCTGAATCTGCCATTGATAGAAAAAACTATGAGAACAACAGCTTTGTTAATTGTATACCATGCTTTTTTTTCTTTTTTTTTTTTTTAACTTACGAAAAATTAGAATTGGGACAGTGTGAAATTGCAGCTCCACGAAGACTAAAAAGTTTCAGCTCTTCTTCAGAAAGATAACAGGCATGAGCCATCACTGTCTAAAGAAAAACAGAATCACAAGTTTACTCAATATTGCATTTACTTCAGTGTGTGTGATTTTTGCTGCACTGCTTTTAATAGCCAAAAGGACACCTGTTACCATCAAGGGAAATTAACGCACTTCTTGAATGAAGCTCTTGAAATCAACAGGGGAGAAACTCTCATTAACTTCAGTATATCTGATATATGACTCCCTCAGCTTTTTTTCATTTATTAATGTAGGAAGATAGGCTGCTGCTCTTGCAGTGACTGCTGTGACCTAAGAGCTTCAAGGAACAAAAGCAGTAATTCCCCAGTTGCCCTAGCACTGTAGTAACCTTATGATTTATATTTTTCATAGCTAACACAGAGATTAAGTACTGGGGCTAGGAGTACATCAGATACAATGGAAGATGGTTGCGTACTCTTAGCATGTTTCCCATTGTATCTCTAAAGGTTTGCACTAGGTAGATATATATATACCTGGAATATCCTTTAATTAAAATAATCTAATTTGTTATGCAACTGATTAATTAGTTTTCTTTCTTGGCCTACATAGATGACTTTAAAAATAAGTTCACAAGCAGTATACAGAAAACATAGAAGTATAGCATAGTATCATTTAATATGACATAAACCAATTATTCCCAGACAAACCTACTTGGAATTACCTCATATGCCAAATGCCCACTCAAAGAGAAGAGCAAGAGCTCTGTCAGGCCTTGCAATCTGCTGATAAAAATGAGAATGGCACAGGGACTGTTTCCACTGAGCATCTCTTAATAGCACTGTACCCTTGCCATCTCTATTCATCAAGCTCAAATGTAAGTGAAAATGCATATCTCTGCTGATCTGTACTTCTTTTTAAAAAGAAGGAAATATTTCAGCCACAGCTCTAAAAAATATACTTTTAAAACATTAAAAAAAATTAATTTGGTGTCTTTGTTTTGGTGGTTAAGGAGGGGGCAATGTCTGCAGTTTTGTTATGCTTGTGTCCCCCAAACAACGAGGAGCCTGGAACCAGAAAGCACCAGCAACCCTGATTTTCAGTGACCATTTTCAGTGCTGTGCCTATAAAAGCCTGGCAGAATTAAGACCTGTGTTTTTGCAGCACTAATATTCTCTTTAGTACACCAACACAACAAATCAGCGTGCATAGGGAAGAGAGAGAAACAGTTAATACTCTGTACATACTTAAGTAGTCCATATTGATTTCTCAGGTAAAAAGGACTGTAAATAATTAATTTACTGGGGTACATTTTCTACGACAGAAATGGGAGTTCAATAGCTAATTCCCAAGGAGTTCCCAGCTGCCCTTCAGGCCTCTGAAAATTCTTTCCTAAAATTTTAAATCAATTTACTGATGTTTAAGCACTCTGACTGTAGTTAGGTTGTTCATATTCACTCATGCATGGGCTCTCCACTATCTAGCAAGGTGTGCCCTAGCACTCTAATCTGTACTTGGGGTGGGCTGCTATCAGACCTGCTTGCATTTCTCTCGCCACCATAAAGCTTTACTGAATTTCAACTCTTCAGGCCACTGTGCCTCTCAATAATTGGTAAAATCAGCTAATGAGATGAGAGTGCTTTTGGATAGTCAGAACAGTAAAGTGTACCTGTCTGCATGTCAGGTTCACACACAGAATACAAAAGGACAAGCTGCTTTTCTGGAGTAAACTACCAAAAAATGAAGTTGGTCCTACCATAACACCATAGAACAAATCTTCAGGCAAAACCACTGTGCAAGAACATTGTAATGTAAGGATAAGTGGGTACTGCCCAAGAATTACCAGCTCCTACAATACCAGCTTTACCTAGTCTCCTTCTGATCCCATTGCCCCAATTCTCTTTGGAGCCCTTGGAAAATGGATCAGAGAGCATAAGATACCTTTATTGTTCATCTCCACTAAAATGCTCTAGGAAATGCGTGGGCTTGTCTAAAGTTTCAATACCTTGACCAACACCTGTGCAATAGAGAACATAAAACCAGTTTACTTCCCCCCGATGTCACTAACCTTGACAAAACAATAAAACTTTTCAAGTAACAACAATTAACCATCATATTCTCTACATGGATAAATCTAAGCTATGCTGTGGAAGTTTTTATGCAGCTACCTTGCTGGTAAGCAGCTTGTTCTTATCATAAAGTTCAGTGTAATTCTGGTAGGTAGGAAACATGTTCTCCACAAGTTTGAGTTCTTCTTCATTCTCACTTATGTGACTCTGCAATAAGAAAATATACAGCAGTGAGTGCTTTAAATAGCATTAAACCTGAGCAACCTTCTGAACAACCTACTAGTGCTAAACATATAACGACAGCAACTGGTATTTGTAAAGCCTATAGTTAGGTATAATCCTTGGGGTACTCTTTTCATCAGAGAGGTCCCTGGGACCCAAAAGAGTAGCTCCATCTGTTCCTTTAAAAGTGATATGAGATGGTATGCCTGGATAGTCCATCCCAGTAGTTTGGTGACATAATGGCCCACTTGGTATTTGGCAAATGTTAAAATAATAAATTAATATATATGACTGTGAGGTGACAGAGAGAACCAGCCTACCACAGAGTGGACCCTGGGATCAGGGCAACACATAGGTAGCTGCTCCATGTGTCTTCAGATGGGCTGATTAATTCCTGGTCTCAGATAAAGATCTGATCCTCCTGTACTCCCATTGGAGCATATATTTTCAAAATGCCCACTTCGTAATGACAAAAAATCCTAATGTAGGATAGCTTTAAAACAGTATATGCTTAGAGCTGTGTAACCAAAAAAGAAACATCTTGAAGTTTCAACAGATCTGTAAGCTTTAAAATATGTCTTTTTTAAACATGGAAACTTCATAATGCTGGAAATCCTACAGCTATGTTAACAATGTTAAATAAGACACAAAGACGAGTAATTCTTTTATCTACTGAAATCTGCTCTGTACAGAAAAAGCAGAAGGCAGAGAGACAGACATAACAACCTTGGACCAGGCAGAGCAACCTTTAGCAACCCAAGGGCTGCTCTAACCTATGATACTGAGTGCCAGTCTCCTAGTGACCATGTGCTGGGGCTTGCTGAATTGTGCATCCATCCAGCTATGAGCCTTCTCATTTCCTCTGCAGGTCACAGTGTTCTTGCAGAGTACCATCAATAATTTCAGAGGCATTTAAAAGACAGGCTCCAAGTTAAGAATGTGGTTTAAGTGTTTTGCTGAAATTATGAAGACTCCCTGGTCTGTATGCTATCTATCCAAACTATGCAAATTGTATACAGAGCTCTCAGAGCTTACCTGCACATGGAGATCACGAGCCTGTGCTAAATCGCCAAGTGCACACAGCAAATCCTCTGTGCAGGAAGGGCCAAAGCGGGGGGTTATTACAGGCTGTACCCTTGGATACTGAAAATATTAAAAAGACATGCTTGGGATTCTACATCTATATATCAGTAACCATAATTAAGACAAGCATTTACACCATAATTACACTTTGTCTCCATCGCTTACTGCTTACTGAATCCTTGCCAACACAAATTAAGCCATATAGTCATTGCCTTATTTTTATTAGAAATTTCACCACAGAAGTAGAAAATCTAAGTTTTTTCTGTGAACAGTTTTAATGAACCTTAGTAAAGAAGTTATTTTTATTAGAACTCTGTCCTCAAGTCACTGAGATTTTACCAGACTTCAGGAGAAGCACTGGATGCTTTTTCATATTTGCTGACAGTCCAGTATGCATTACGAGAAATAAGTCAGATGGATAACCAGACATTTTTCTGAGTACCACTTCCATGAATATCAAAGATGTCATGACGCAAAACTGCAGAGTTCGGTAAAACCAAAACCTTTTCCTTGTTCGATCTTCTCCACTCATGATAGCAACAAACTGTCCCTATAGTCCCTAGACAGGAAGATTAGTGGTAGCAACTGATACGCTATGTCTACAGATGTTTACTTTACACCTTGCACTTCTGGATTAAAATTTTCAGAAAAAATAGACAATGGCATTACAACTCTGCCTTCAGTCACAGGCAATAGTTGTGCATGTGGCACCACTAGAAGACACTATATGATAACCTGGTTTGCAGTTTCTTAAACCATCTCCCAGATACAAGGAGCTCAGGGCTTCTGCAGATTAGCCGATTTACACTACTAATACATATGATTTGGGCATTAAACTCTGGGCATCTGTTCTTGAATATTTTGAGATACAAATGTCAACAAATTAAGCCATTGAAAACAAAAGGCCGATAAGAAGAGTATCCCTGCTTGTAATATTGGAGTGTAAACCTCTGTCTTTAACTCAGGAGTGTAAACCTGAATTTCTTTAGAAACACACTGGAAGACATGTGCTGACACAAAATACTAATTTGGTAATGGATTTGTAACTGTAGTGTAAAAACATTGATTTCTGCTGGTGAGAACTTCTTTAACTTGTCTATTTATATACTGCAGAGTGATCAACTGACTTGCACCTTTCTTTCTTTAACAGAAAATTGTCCTTTCTAGGAAATATTTTAAAGTCAACAGAGAACACGCACAGAACATTACTCTGCTGTGCTCTGACCACACGAAACTGAATTTACACTGCTACAAGTCCATTTCTCAACAACAGGGCTAGCAGAACATTTCTCAGACTTATGATATCTGTCAACTACTCAGAAAGATGTATATTTATTGGTTTGTCACTAAGGCAGCAGAGTTTGTCAGTGGGATTAACTATTTCATACATTCACACAGCATCTTCTGAATACAAAAGTGAATACAAAGTAGAACTCTACTTACTTTCTTTTCCAGTAGTTCCTTAACAAACCTGAAAAAGGGTAGAAAAAAAATCTGATATAAACTTGTCATCTGTATTATACATTATGAAAAATACAGAAAATATTTAGTTAGATACCCTATTAAACATTTAAGACATAGATCAATTTTTTTACAGAAAGTTGGGCCAGATTCTTGGATGAAATAAAAAGAAGAAACACAATGAATTCAGGATAGTTACACCAAATTATGCTAGTTGTGAATTTGACCCTGAATATGCAGAATTTTTTTCATTTGCAATAATTAGCATTAGACACATGGTGATTACTCTGAGTTCTCACTGAAAACTGAATGCATGTTACATTAAATTAATTGAAAACATAATTATAAGCTACAGCTGCAACATTAGAGAAAAAAAACACTTAAATTTGTCTGTCCATGAATTTAAATTACAGCATTAAATATATTCTATTATTTAAAATCCTATTTTTAAAAGATGCTGTAATATTTCATACCTCACTTACAGTAGTTGCATATGTCCTCATTCACTTAATGGACCCTTGATTTTCTGGAAGTGCTTATATTAATGTTACTGTATAGATTATCTACCTTATGGAAAATACATAGATTTACTTACTTTGTTAAATAAAAGAAGCTACCTCAGGGACGTCTATAAAAAACCCCAAGCAGTCAATTAGGAAAATGCAGATGAGCAAATAAAACTTCCTCTGATTTTGCAGGGAAGAAATTCTTTGAAAACTCATATACATGTTGTATGAAAATAATTTTGAAAAGCCAGTTTGAGATGGGTTCTGGACAGGATCTCTGTGAATTTTTATGTCATAGTTTATATTCAGAAAAACACGTAATTTTGGTCACAACAAACAGTCAATCAAATTTGTCAAATATCTTCAGATGGAAAAGCAAATAATGCCGGAGGCTAGATTCACAACACTGAAGCTGGTGCTAGATCACCAGCTGGAAGTGAGAGACCTAAGCTAAACTTCTGCAATGACCAAAGGAGTTTGAGCCCACCATTGTCTAACTTTGAGAGCCAAAAGCATTGTGAATTAGGTAACATCTGTCTATCTCTCCTCTTATTGATTCATCTGATATAATAGTATAACATTCACTGGAGCAGAAACTGTAACACAAGTATAACTCTCAGGTGATAATCCAAAACCTCCAGATGGCTGTTTTCATTCTTTTTCACATTCTTCGAATAGTGTCAGCATTGTTTCAAAACTGAAATGCCTTTCTCAAAACACCCTATACTTTGTTGGCTTATGTATTTCTCTATGAGGAAAGAAGCTCAGGTTCAAACCACTGTCTTCTGCAACAGAAGAACAGATTTGAACATGGCTCCTCCTCTTTCCAGATGACTACAACCATTAGTAGCATGTGACATATTCTAGATTTCAGCTCCCTAATTTTTTATTCATCCTTTGTGCAGGAGAGGGGTAGATTCAAATTCTTGACCTGAATTTAGATGTAACATATGATGCACTTGGAATTGTATATTATTTCCATGCATACAATATAAATATTTCCAGAGGTTAACTGTAAAGAACTGAAATCAGTGTAATACATTTTCTGACAATGTGACAGATCACATTCCTTAGGTTCTTTAAAAAAAAAAAAAAAAAGTTGCCCTCTTAAAGAAGAGCTTTTTCATCCTTCTGCAATGGTATTCCTGCAATTCAGGCCTGATGAGGTAAGTACTCCTGATCCATGCCAACAAGCACACAGCTCTTGTCTCTGGACAGCTCCAGAGTACTTGTGGCACACTCTCATCCAAAGCTGAGAGACGTTTGTTATGAACACAATCACAAGAGAAGGGAGTTGGGGGCCCAAGATAGGTATTTAAAAGAAAGCTATTTATATACTTCTGAAGCTTTAAAAAATATCAGAACTGGAAGTTCTGTCACTTTCAGGCCCATTCAGGAGGACTCACACTGTATTACAAAAACTGGTGATTTACGTGAACAAAAACAAATGTTAGTAGAGTGCGAATGACTGTTACTACATGTTTTAAAAATGTTTTTAAATATAAACACCATTAGAAACCCACGACAATTTCTAACTTTTACTGCCATTCTGCTAGCATGATCATGATTTGCAAAAATAAAGTAGCAACTTCACACAAGTGCCATAACATGTTTATATTACTATTAGGTATTTTCTCTTTCAGCATGATATTTGAAACATTTATACAAGTAAATAAATAGTCCCATGAGAAAAGCTGTATGTCTGCTTAAGCATTTTCTGAGCATGGATGCGAAAGACAAGGGAAACCTAAGACAGCAGGCTGCTATACTCCAGTCTTGGGTGCCCTCCACTACATACGTTGCCTTGATTTGATTCTCCTTCATTCTCTCAGCTGCAGATTAGAGTAATTTCACTGGTGCTATGCTGGAAGAGAGGAGAACCACAGCATGTTTAAAACAGGGTATATGAAACCTGACTCCTACAACCTGAATAAAGCCGTATCCTAAATGGGAGTTGGAAATAGCTCAGAAGTTAATGGGGGCGAAGGAACTGATTGCCACCCGACCATCCCATGTCAGGTCACATCACCTCCACACAGAGAGCTGTGAAGGGAAAAGAGGAGGCAGAAAACAAACAGCAACATACACATAATCTCTCCAAACCCTAGAGCTGTAGCTTCTCCCTTTCTTTGGAAGAGCTGGAAAGAAACCACTTGGGCTGTGCAGCAACTGAGTATGCAGGAATTGCCAGAACTGTAGGAAACAATACTGTCAGAACAAAAAAAACCTGTTCCTAATAAATTTACACCTGTAAGTTCTCAGTCAGCTTCATATTCACTTTTCAGATGTATGAAAAAGTCTTATTTCTAAAGGTCGTGCCATCAATTTCACCACCTTACCTTTCTGTCTCTTGGACAGAGTCAGCAGTACTCTCTTTGTATTGTGACACACTGTCATTCATATCCATGCAGACTTTTCCAACAAATGCTCGTTGACCAAATTTATCTGTTGAGATGCATAAGAATATAACACTCAGAATCACTGGTTCTCAAAAACTGCTATCAGAGCCTGCACTGCAATCAAAATAGCAAATTCTACCCCAACCAGCTTCATTTAAGATGAACAGAATTTATGCTCTTTTCTTAAGTTAGGACCATCAATGTGACTTTTAAAGCTAAAACGGAAAGAGAAAAAAAAACCCAAACATTTAAATAGGAGTTCTCCTCTTCCACATTAGTACCCAACTTTATAAATGTCATAATTGAGGAATAGATTACTGTAGTTTAATCACAACTAGAATTCATAATGGTAGTATACGAAGAAGACCGCTGTGAAGTAGAGGACGAGAAACACAAGCATCAAAGTACAGTAACTGTAGTAGATGATTACCCTGAGATGAGAAAAGGCACAAAGATCTCAGCAAACCATCTCTACTTAAGAGAAAAGAATGACGTTCCTAACACGCCTCCCATGTGTGGCTGGATGGCGAAAATTACCAGAGCTACTTCTAGCCTCTTTCTTGAGATTTATCCATGCTAGGACTCAGTACTCATGTGTAAGACTTAAAAGGAATGCATATAATATTAAATTCTAAGCTTTTAAACTTGTTTCTACATTAGATCTCTTTTGTCCACTTTTACTATCTGAGTTGTTGAATACAACAGCTTCAAAGTTTTAGGTTTTCCTACAAAATCAGAAAGAGTAGAGAATTTTTGATGGAAACTGAGGTTCTCATTAAATTGCTCTGCTTTGGGAGTTGGCTGAGCCTTGAGAAACCCTGCAAGAATCACAATACTTTCAAACAGCAGGCATTTGCAACAGTGAACAGGAGGGAGGGATAAGATCCTGATGCAACTGCCACTGTTCTGGTTTCAGAGGGTGTGATGAGATTTTTTATGTTGATTCTCAACTGAAACTTCAGAGTATCAGGAAATTAATGCACTGACTGCACTTCTTGTCATTCAGCCCTTTAATCCTCAAATAGCAAAAGGCAGAGCAGAAAGAGCAGAGAACTGCAGCTGAAGAGCAACTCCAGCAGACCTAATTCAAGCTCAGCCAGCAGCTGATTTGGGAATGAAGAGACTAGCAGAAACAACAGTAGGAGAGAGGCGGTTAAGTGAACAAGGGTAACTAGGGTGGATTTGGGGGACACAGTATGACAGATACAATGAATAAAAAACAAATTAGTAGAAAGACAGTTCCCTAGCTAGTCTAAAACTCCTAAGCTCTTTTTCCATCAACTAACGCAGTCTGTGCAACATCCTTCAAAACTCACTGTTAGTCTTACCTATAATTTCAGCAAGAAGAAGAGAAGTATCTGTGTAAATTGTTGCAAAGTAGCAAGCTGTAGTTGTGCCATTCTTTAGAGTTCGTCTCTATAAAAAGAAATCAGTTTCAACTGTCTGGAAAAAAAAATAGTCAAGCTGCCAAAATGCAGAACAGGCAGTCTGATTTCAAACTGCGAGAACATTTAGGGATTGTGAAATTGTCCAGTGAAGTGGGAAGGTAAAATACAGATTTTTAATTTTATAATAACTTTTCTAAGTCTGAGTGGTAATAAATAAACAAATTCTTCTTCCAAATCCATACAGGATTTTAACAATGGCTGAACTCATAGAAACCAGTCTCTATTTCCTTCACTCAAACTGGAAATAAATTCTGACTTCTATTTAGAAATACAAACAACCAGTCATTTATGTTATTTCCTAGTTTTGAAAGGCTCTCCAATTTTCACAGTGAAGCACTGTTTACATAACGTTAGCAAAGCAAGGCTTTTGGGAAAAAGTAGTGGTTTTCATTTGGCCACCTGATGTGGCTGTGTAGCCAGGCTTTCATGTATAAAACCCCTTTGTTATCCCTGAATAGAAAGCAACAAACTTCCAGGTAAAAGTAAACTGAGACCAACTGTTCAGAATGTAATTTAATTATTTATTTAATTATACCATTTGAAAAGAGAGGGTGGTTGATACCTGTTCATATTACCCTTGGAGGTCATAACAGTAAATGAAGAGCCATTTAAAGTTATATTAAGTCACGATGAAATTTATAGCTTCATTTGATCTTGGGACTAATGCATACTACATTGACTACCCATCCAACATACAAGTTTAAATTACATTTTTGGATTCTGGCTATAATGTAATTTGTGAATTTTATTTTATTTTTTTAATAAGATAGAAAGTGGGACACCCAGCGCAACTTTTGAGAATGGATAGAGCTAATTATTTGACAAACATGAAGCCAAGCTCTGTCTCTTCCATACAATATTCCAATTAAAGCCAATAATTTAAAAGAAGTCTTTAAGAGTTCCTAAAATGAGTCTCAAAAATAACAATGTCATGACACAGAGAAACTACTTTTTTCTTTCTTAGCTTTTAAAACCAGAATTCTCTACTTCTGGATTCCTAATATCATTGTTAAATGAAATCTAAAAACATTCTGTTTCCAAAACATCAGCATGAAGAATTGGCTTTCCTAAAATTTGAGGGACCAGAGGAGGTTCCAGCTAAAATCTGGCAAATTTCACCTGATTTGTTTCTTTTAGCAATTATAGAAAGTGTTTATTGGAAACAGAACTTTGATTTGAAAAAATTCAGTATGTTTTTGTTGCAACTCCAGAAGTACAAAGGTACATGTGAAACAATATCTGCTTCCTGCAGGTTTAGTCCTGTTTCTAACAGTTGAAGGTTGTTATCAGCCCCATCAAACATTGCAGAGCAACTAGTATTCTGCACTTTTGGGGGTGAAGACATTTTCCTGATCTTGTCCTATTTGATATGCACGGAGAGAGCCTAACCATTGTGTTGAAGCTGCTAAAACTAACTTCCATCTCTCACTGGCAGTTCTTTTCCAGGTGAGGTTATCCAACACCTTGCACAGTGAACTCTTCAGCTGTGCTGATGTCACCCAATCTGAACTGATGGAAAGAGTAACAGTACGTTGAGGCACACAGCTGGAAGGTGAGATCACCTCTATGTTTCAAGTAGCTGAAGGCATGTGTGCTTGTCACTAGAGTTTAAGACCAAGCTTCTCCTACATGTTTTTATTATGGCAGAAAGTAATTTTTTTAAAAATTTGTGTGGCAAGGACACTATTTCCGTTATAGGATAGAATCAGCACTCTGCAACGTGACCTAGCTGCTTATTGTTCATCAAGTGGAATTTGACCTTAAAGCCTTTATATTTCTCAGAACCAGTCTAGCTCAAACACAGTTTCTCTCTTTGTGCCACAATACCATTGACAGGCTTCATCCATAGCCCCTGCAGTGAAAGATATTCCTGCTACAAGGACTTCAGCTGTAGAAACTTCTTCATTAATTACTCCAAAACATCCCAGATTTGTTGTCTGTGAGAAGCACCTTCTCTTCAATGTAGTCTTTGCAGAAGACGATTTCATAATAGAGGCTTTTTGTGCAGAAAAGGAAATATCCTCTGAATTATTTTTTTTACCATGCTTGGTTATTTCTGCATTGAGGTTGTCAGTACCTGCTGGCTATACTAGCTCTGAGAGTACTCATAAATGTTGGTCATTGTACTCAGTTATCAGAAAAGACGATAAAAAAGGTCATTGTTAACCATGTGATGAAATGAACTGTCTTATCAGCAACTACAGAACAAGACTGAAACTAGCAGGGGACAATCTTGGCTGGCAATTAGAACAGTGACTATACTGTAGGTTTTATCTGGTCTTCATGACTTTAAAACATACTCTACTATTTCTGCTGACCTTCTGAAAACATACATATATTTCACAAATATGAATGTCATCAAGTAGGTAAATGACATTTGCAGTACTTACAACAACCCTGGTGTACACTTCTTCTGCAAAATCACTGTCTTTGTATTTGGCTTCTGTTGGGAATGTGTAGGTAGTCAACCACTGCAAAAGAGGTAGATCTACTCTTGTACCAGTAAATGAATACTGAGGGGCATGAATGTGTGTATCAACCATTCCTGGCATGAAGAATTCACTAG